AGGACACACACACACACACACACGCGCAGACACACACACACACACACACACACACACACACGCACGCACGCACGCACACACGCATGCACGCACACGCACGCGCGCACACACACACACACACACACACACACACACACACACACACACACACACTCTACAGAGCAGCAGTCTTTATGAAGGGAATAATGATGTCCAGCAAGCATCAGCTCGTAATGGAGCAGTTAATGCGGGGTCAGAGGTCAGCGCTAGGCTAATGTTACGCTGATAACTCCTGATTAATGATACAGCAGCTAACAGGCCTCCGTCTCTGACCTTTACTGACCTTCTGTGGAGACATCACTGCATCGATCCAGAGCGCGCACACACACACACACACACACACACACACACACACACACACACACACACACACACACACACACACACACATACGCACACGCGGGTCGATACTTTAAACAGCGCTCAGCTCTCCTCAGTAAATGCAGCTCCCAGCGCGTCTGCAGCAGTCGATGAGGAAGATCTTCTGGACGACAGATACGCTGTGAACATGAAACCACACACACACACGCACGCACGCACGCACGCACACACACCACACACTGCTCCACATGCATCACTCACGTTGACACTCTTTCGACTTCCTGTCTGACAGATGGAGAACATGCGGACAGAATCCAGGTCAGGGTGTGTGTGCAGGTTTCCTGAAGGACACGAGAAACAGCGGGAACTACAGCTGGACACACCCTCACACACTGACAGGGGGATCGGCAGGTGTGTTCAACAGGTCTGACCCTCAGGGGTGCTGTTGCTAGGTGATTTAAATTGTTGCTAGGTGTTTTGGAGTGTTGCTAGGTGACTTAGGTTGTAGCTAGTTGATTTAGAGTGTTGCTAGAATGGTTTGGGGTGTTGCTAGGGTGATTTGGGTTGTAGCTAGGTGATTTGGGGCGTTGCTAGGGTGATTTGGACTGTTGCTAGGGTGATTTGGGGTTGTTGCTAGGGGGATATGGGGTGTTGCTAGGGTGATTTGGGTTGTAGCTAGGTAATGTGGGGTGTTGGTAGGTGACTTGGGGTGTTGCTTGGGTGATTTGGAGTTTTGCTAGGGTGATTTGGGTGTGGCTAGGGTGATTTGGGTGTTGCTAGGGTGATTTGGGTGTTGCTAGGTGAGTTAAGGTGTTGCAGGTGTTGTTATTTTAGAGTGGTCTCCAGGGTAGTTGTTGGTAAGGTGATTTGGGTTGTTGTGAGTGTGTTGTGGCTTATTGAGATGTGATTAGGGTTAGCTGATTGGCTGTCTCTCACCTGATGGGTTGAGCAGTCTCCAGGTGATGGCAGGATCTGGTCTCCCATTGGCTAAACATGTCAAGGTGACGTTGCTGCCCTCGTTCACAGTGATGTCCTCTGAAACCTTGTAGATGATTGCAGGAACTGAAGGAGGAAAACAGACACGCATTAGCAGAGAACACTGAGGGATGCTGGGAGATCACACACACACACACACACACACACACACACACACACACACACACTGCGTGCGCAGCAGTGAATGTAGTCAGATGTAAACTCTGCCG